GATGTGAACCGCACGGATTCTAAGGCATGTGCGAAAGCAGCAATACCTCTTTTCCGACCGTCGGGCAACCTGCACTTGAAATGGTTCGAATTAATCGACTCGGTAAACGTAAATGATGGGTTATACGGCTCCAGGCGATCGGCCCGCAAGGGCGCCATAATCAGTCGACAGGGTGGAGCATGCCAGCGCCGACACATGATAAAAGCACCAAGAACTCATTTGAATAGGGTCTAACCACGGATTATCCAGTACCTTTCTCGCAAGATAGCACTCGTGTGCGATATACCGATGTAGCCATTCATTTGGTGCAAGTGTTGCACGATTAGTCTGCTCACGAAAGGGTGTTGCGGAAGGATAACCGGGTGCTTCGTGTCGTTTGAATTTGTTTCGCGTGGTTTGAATTTTTGAGCAACAAGAAGACACATTTAAATTAAATTTTTACACTGAAATAGATTGTCTTCAGACAAAAATTAGAGCAAAAGCACATTGTTTTTTACGATCCGCCGTCCAATTTCCTTCGATACTCTCACTGTTCGACCAGGACATTTCTCCAAATCGAGCATTCTTTTGGAAATCTTGGTTTGGCCTACACAGCCTACCAGTCCGAATCAGTCTCGTCAGGGCTACTGAGGAGTGTCTGCGGAAAGGCTGAGTCGATCGTTTATATACAGTTTGTGTTTAATTACTTGTTGTGTAAATTGCATTTAGCACTTTCGAACTTAGCTAGATACTCGTTATTTTTTTTCTCAAAAAACAACAACAGGCATCGATAATAACGTTCATTAGGCTTCTCATTAGTTTGAAAGTACCAAGTCGATCAGTTATACATTGCCTGAAGTAAAATTTCAGGTTGTAAAACTCGTATCTAATCACTCGTTACTTTGGAAAAAACAGCAGACGTAATTTGTCAAAAGCCCCTATTTAAGCGTATTCTCTATACACATTTGTGTCATATAAATAGTAAGTATTTCGGTAAGGTTTGCATTTAAGATTACTTACTGCACCCAAAAATGTTGCCTCACGAGTGCTCTCTACTCCCAGGAGAAGTAGACAAAGGCTGCAGATAAGGGCTATCCAATTGATGTCATATTTTTCGACTTCAATAAGGCCTTCGATAGTGTACCACACAGGCTTCTTCTACAGAAGATTTGAGACATGGGAATTCAAGGAAAAATGTACAAATGGATCAGCAGTTTCTTGTTCTTCAGAGAACAGAGGGTCATTGTTGGAAACTCAACCTCGGAATGGACAACGGTCGAGAGTGGTGTACCACAAGGCTCAGTTTTGGGTCCGCTGCTATTCCTG